GGGAACTTCACATGAACTTCTGGGTTTGAGTTTCTTAGCCTGATCACACCTGTTAGAACTTTAATTATTTTTTTTATTACACCTGACCATGCCTGATAGAAATATCTTGAGGGTTTATGTACCATATAAAGCAACAGAAATCATCCTTTTTTTTAAGCATTAGCATTTGAGACCTTTGATAAGTGCCATACTCTGGAGTTGGAATTGGAAACTTGGCAATGAGGGCTTTTGGGCGTAAAAATGCCTTTTGTCATCCCACCAGGCTATCGATTGAAATGTAGCCAACCCATAGGTCTGTGGGAAGCTCACTTGTTAGCCTAGCAGAGACAGTGTTAGTCTTTGGGCAGGTAAGTTCTTGTGGGGCAGGAGAGGTTGTGCTTGATGAATGAGTATAGGAGTAGTAGCTGCAGTGAGACCAGTGTGCTCTGTGTTTCAACTCAATCGGAATAAAAGTCAGTCAGCAAATATCAGTGAATACTGCAGTGTTCATCTGTGTGCGGATGAATACTCAAGCAGAGGAGGAGCAGAAAAGGATTGTTGGGAGAGTCCAGGCCAGAGCCCACAGAAAAAAGCCAAGAAGTGGGAGAACCTCATTCATACCCTTCTGCTCTAAATACAGCAAAAAAAAAAAAAAAAGTGTTTCTTCAGTTTTAGATAGCTCTGATCTATAGAAATATAAAATTGTTTATGAATACAAAAGGGCTGGGAGCTATAAGGACCTTACTTGTCAGAAGAACAAAGTTCTGCCAAAACATCTTTGCTGCAAGACCAAGTAATATCAGGATTCAGTATCAGAGCCGTGCTCTGAGGTGAGGTGAGCTGAGCTAGCAGCGGCTGGGCCTGTCCCACATCTCTTCCATGCCGATGTTTATAGGTATCAGAGTCCTGCTGTGCCTTTGACCTGCGTAGGTGTCAATAAAGCTGGAAAACAGCTTACACAGAGGACCTACAATAGGGCCTAACCATTGTCTGACGTGGACAGATTGTTAGAATTTTCAGCTTTTGTCCTCTTCCACTGTAGCTTTCACCTGTGTGATTACCACTGGAGGTGTCACCAGCATCTTTTTCTGGCGTCTTGCCTCTGAGAGTAGCTGAAACATACTTTAAAACATATTTTAAACATATTTTAACATATTAACATATTTAAACATATTTTAAAAGAAGGAACAATAAATGGATTGGCAAATATTTTAACCAACCAAGTTTTGTAGACCTCATGTCAAGTGGCACTCAGGCAAGCTAAAGCAATGCAATTTAAAGTTGCAGGCCAACACATGCCTCAACACATTCAAACACACCAAAACGATTGTATTTTAGTTTTTCCTCAGTATGCACTCTAATGTGATTTTTAAAATATATGGTGACATAACATTTCCCCCTCCACAGGACATCTTCAGTAACAGTTGGTAAGAAATAGCTTCTTCCTTAAATCCTCATCTTATTAATTATGCTTTAAATGAAATCCTCATCTTTGCCTGTGAGATTACAAGGCTTTCCAATAGATAGGCACTGCCATCAGTGTCTTTAAATGTCTTCAAGATAGCTGTGCCCTCTTTATGTTCTTGTTTAACGTGCAATTACATCACAAATCCTGCTTCAGATTTCCATTTCTCCTGAGTCATGATTTTGAAGCGTTACCCCAACTCTGCATTTTAATCATTAGCCATTCTAGCCATAGAGAGCAGCTCCTCTGGAAGCAAGAAAGCTTTATATCATTTTGTCATCGCTTAATGTCCGTGTTGTAAATGTTATACAGTCTTGAACTGTGTTGTATTTTTACAAAGTATTTTTTGGAGTATTTTAATATCTGTATTAAATCATGGTTACTGTCAATTACTAATTTTCAGTGTTTTATTTAGAACTGGACCTAGAAAACCTTCCAACACCAACAAACATAATTTTTCTCTTAAGATGAAATGCCTTTTTCTAACGTATGTAGGTGCTTTTTATTCTTCAATCTCTAAAAGAGGAGCTACTTTGTCATTGATGAATCAAAGCAGGATGCTTTATACTTTAATTAAATGTAATGTATCGTAGAAACAGAAGACAGCTAACTCTTAATACAGTCCACAGAGAGCTCTAAATAATAAACATGCTACTTGAACTGAGATGATGATGGCTGAAGATGCATTAAGTAGACAGAGACACAAAAACAAATGAAGGTGAGAACTCAGTCAGGCAAGCTGAAGTGGACTGAATACTTTGTCAGGAGGGTTAGTGCTAATGCATTTTGCATTAGTCTGATGCCTGCAAAATACTGGCTCCTGGCATCAGAGTTCATGACCACAGTTTTACCTTATCTACACATGTTTAAATACAGGAGTAATAATATATAAGAAAGATTTTTACCTGTTAATGTCTACTGCAGAAGATTTGCACAGCTTATGAAAGAGATGGTATTAAGTAGTAAGTCACAGTTGTAGTACAAGGGTGTTACGGTCCTCAAGTTCAGTTGCGATGAATAATTGATGGTAAAAAAAAAAAAAAAGCAGATGATGCCAAAAACACGCACCAAACAATATAAGCTCTTTTTAGAATGATGTTTATAGAACTAAATTAATCGGGTTAAAATTTTGGTGAGAGGATTTAATATATCACCAACATGAGGAGCATTTGTAGCTTTATTTGTAAGATCCACAGAGTAAATTTCAACCCCAGAGTGTTATACAGATCATTTGCTGCCAATCTTGTCATCTTGGTGAGTTTGTAGTTTTTGCGAATCAGGAGGCAGCCGCTCCTGAGTGTCTTGATGCAAGGCGAGGGGGCAGAGGGCCTAGGATGGAACCCCAGAGAGGTGATGACACCTTGACAGCGCTTCCCTGGGGAGGAGGGGGCCGGCTGGTCAAACAGTGGAACTTTGCTCCTCAGTGAAGCTTCTGGATATGCATCAGATATGCACCAGAATCTCTAAAGCTGAGGTAGTTTAGCCCGGAAGCCATTGGACTTGAAGAGCAGTGGTCCAAGTGCCCCTGTGTTGTGCTTGCCTGTGATTAGGGTGCTTTGGCCACTCAGGGACAGTTAGAAGAGCTCCTGAACAATTGGGAGCAGCATGGAAATTGGGCCCATACCACAGTCAGAGGAATACGGACAGAATTTAAACTGTTCCCAAAGTCTGCAAATTTGGTAGTTGTCATTTTTTGCAAAGTAAAATGACTTATTCAAGAGAAGAGCAAGTCAAATCTTACTTTCTCAAAGTAAGATTAAAAACTTTTGTCTTGGAAGAGGCTGCCCAGAGAGGTTGTGGAGTCTCCTTCTCTGGAGATCTTCCAAACCCGCCTGGATGCCACCCTGTGCCATGTGCTCTAGGTGTCCCTGCTGGACCAGGAGGGTTGGACTAGGTGATCTCTGGAGGTCCCTTCCAGCCTCAGCCATTCTGTGATTCTGTCTTGATCTCCATGTTCATGTCTTTCCGCATTCTTTAGAGAGTAACGAGAAGGTTTGAGAACTCCTGTGTGTAGAGGGCTGACTGTGAAGCCCCTTGTAATAGGCTGAAATGAGGAGAGAAAATCAACAGTATATAGCTTAAAGGAGAGGATCTAGTATATATTGCTGTTAAATACTGCTAAAAATACCTACAAGTTTTCACAGTCATTCTTTTCCATAGAGGTCAGGGAAGTTGCATGGTTGTGAATGGGAAAACGGCATGATTCGTAAGACTGCAAATAGAAGAGCTGGTTTAGTGTCTGAGGTTTTAATACCTGCCTTTGCAGTTAGATGCTCTGAATTCCTTCCACTGGCCTCCTGACTTTCTGGAGCGCTGCCAAGACTTGGCTCACCTTTGCTTCTGCATAGACCATTTCTACGGGTTCTTCGTTGTCATCTCTTAAAACCCAAAGCCTGATCTGATCGCTGACAATCATGAAGAATCTCCCGCAACTTCTTGAAGGAAGATTCTCCTGTAGTTAGGCAGCTACATTCAGCCCTCAGCAAAATCGTTTGGTTATCTCAGTTGCATGAAATATCTTAGTTTCCTGGGTTTTAAGGTGTTAGCAGGATGGCAGTGCTTTATAAGCCTGTTGCACTGCTGGGCTAGTGCGTATGTGAGGCAAGAAGAGAGTTCTAACATTCTCAGACAAAGCACTGCTGACCCCGCACTGAAGTATCTCCACCCGAGGTGCTTCAAGCATCCAAGATGTTGTACAGCAAGTAAAGTGCTGGTGAAGGGTGCAGGTAAAACTAATGGGACCGATTCCAGGACTTGCAAAGAGCAGTGTGAAGCTCTCTTTCTTCCAAGTACAGTAACTTCATAGTGCAAGATGAAATATTGCCTGTGATACTAATGGGGTAGATCGTGCAGGAAAGACCTTTTGTGAAATGAAAAGTCCTTTTAAACAAATGTATTTGAATGTGTACTTGCTTGAACTCCTATTGTGCACATCTTCCCTTGATGGGAAGATAAACCATATGAATAGAAACTAAATGTACTTTTAAGCTTTTTATTTCACTGTTGTAGGTGAAGTCATATATAATTGGTCTTTCTGTTTGTTTTCTATTACTTTCAGTTTTTGAAACATATGGTTTGGTTAAACAATTATTTTTATTTGAACCAAATACAGTTCTATGTGAGGCTGTAGTTGGCCCATGCAGTTGTTTTTGTTTGAAGGTCTTGCCTCCTGGAAAGCATCCATACTAGGAGCTAATAGCTGCTCAAGTTATTTACGCTTTGGGTTGACATTATGGCTTAAGCATTTGTAGTCCGTTCACAGATATGGTTCATAGAGGTAATTCTGTTTAAGCTTCATCACATAGGATGTCAGGATGCAGAGGAAGCAGAATTTTAACAATCAAATATTGTTCAGGTAAAGCCAACAAATACGAATGAGCTCCCATGTTTTACCTGTACCAGCAAGGGCAAGGTGGAGTATTCCAGAAACATTAGATGGAACAAAAATAGGAATATAACTAGGACTTTTCACACTGTTGTAGTATTTCAAGATGCAGAGTTTACATATTAGTCTGTTATGGATTTCCATTTGTAACCTTTTGTTTGTTTGTTATAGCCTCTTGGGGCCAGTGACTATTTGGAAATATCCAAGCACTTTGACACAGTCTTTGTTCGCAACATACCACTTCTTACCATGGCAAAAAGGACCCAAGCTCGTCGCTTCATTACGCTTATTGACACATTTTATGAGCATAAGGTGAGAACTAAGCATCTCATAGATGTTTTGGAATAATATTGGGAGCACTAAAACCTAACTGTTAGAAAACCTTACTTCAAAGTAATAACTTATTAATAATTTGGAAAACATAAGCAGAACGGACTACCACTATAAAGAAGCAACTTCATGAAAGGCCCCATTGCAGGGGTAGTTTCTGTAAGTACTAAGCCTAAACGTAAGTATAGACATGAGATTATTTGCCTTTCTTGAATTGAAATGTTCTACTTCTAAGTCAAGAACTCAACCACAGAAGCTGTGCCATTATTTTACTAAAAAAAAACCACACTGAATCTGAACTGAGAGTAAATTGTTTGAGTTGGTACGGACAGTTGGTCGGGAAGTGCCCTCCTGGACAGGCCGTGGAAGAGTTAACAGCATCCTTAGGTGTGCTGCTCTTTTCGGAAGGAGCCGTCCCCGTAGGCTCTGTGTTACGTTGCAGAGCCGCTAATGGAATACTAATGATAAACGCAGCACTTCACGGGATTTACAGAGGTTTCAATCACGGAAGCAAAATCAGCACTATTAAAACAAAAAAATAAGGCAAATTCACATTTAAGATTTTTTTTTAAAAGTAATGAAAGATATTAAACTCCATTTCATGTGCAATTATATATGCACACACTTAAATATTCATGCAATCAGGAAGTATCAATAGAGGTTTTTCAAGGATGTCCTGGCAAGATGGTCAGAAAGGCCCCGATTGAGCCCAGTGTTGAGGTATGAGCTCTAACTGCTTGTGGCAGTTGTCTCACTCCGGTCAGCCAGATTCTTTGTGCTGTCTGCATGAAAAATGGATATTTCTTAAACGTTATACTAATACCCTATCATTAGTTTAGATGTATATCAGAAATACTTACTTTTGTGATCTGCATACTGTCACTAAGAATCGTAAGCAAGCAGTTGCATTCTGTCATTTAAAAAAAAAAAACCCACAAATATGAAACTCCCATAAGGAGTAATTGTGTGGAAAAGCTATCTGCTTTTATCAACAAATAAGCTATCTTATAGCTTATTTGTTGAGACCTGTCAGCAGTGGAAACATTTTGCCTGGATGCTTTCAACAAGTGACCATGGTCCTCCAACGAGTGGGGACTGCAGTTCACTTACCTACCCAGAGGGATCCTAAAAATAGGGAAAAGAAAAAGTTGAGTAATATCTTATAGCTGTTATTTTAGAAGGTAAATTTGATCTCTTTGCAAATATTCTGATACAGCTGATATTCTGCATACTTAGTAGCATAGTTACGCTGTTCTCTGAGTAAAAGTTATTTGAGTTATAACCGAGGAGAAGATTCTGTAAGGTTAAAATTGCAACTGACTAAATAAGGTAAATCTGGTACAGTGTTGTTAGTAAGAGAAAGGAAAAATATCTGGGGGGGGAAAAAAAAGCAGAACCAAGGTGATAAATTGAAGTTTGCTTTTCATAAAAGATGCATTTTATCCCTTATGTATAAAAGGCAGGTGGTGATATCGTTGCTTGTTTTTCGTCTCTCAGGTGCGGATCATTTGTTCGGCAGTGACTCCTCTCCGGAGCCTGTTCCTGGCAGAGTGTGACAGTGGGGAGCTGGAGGACAACAGAGTGTTGATGGATGATCTGGACTTGAGCCAGGTACATGATATTAACATCGGCTCCCTTTTGTAGCAAAATTGGTTTGGGTCTCCTAATTACAGCAGCAATTGAGGAAAAGAAGTCGAGTCAATGTTTAGCTAGTGATTTGCTGCTTTTTCTGTAGTGTATTTGTCACTCTCATAATTGTATGTTAGGTTATTCATTCGGGGTCCAAGAAAATATCACAATATGTAGAATCATTTTGCGTAAGTTTTAGGGGCATTTTGATTGCTAATGGTTATATCTGTTCAACCACCTATGAAAACAGTGATTTAAGCTTAGCTCTTATATTTGAAATACAGAAATAAAAATAATCTATTCTAGTTCTTTTTAGAGCATACAGGGCTATCAGTTCCTCAGAGAGAATACTATTTTGCATGCTGCTTCCTCTGTTTTTCCTTTCCTTTATAATGTAGTTACTTTTAATGATTTTTAAATGGTCTTGATAAAAGCCCAGACAATTAGAGTCAACTGGAAAGTGGAAATAGATAGGTACAGTGTCATCGTGGTGTTTAAAACCAAATTCCTTGCTTTGTCATGTTCCTTCAGAGGATTAACTAGCTGAAATAGGAGGTTAACTGTATTTTCCATTGATGTCCTATTACTGCCCTGTGCTGTTCAGGCTGTAGAGCATTCAGTGTTGCAGTTTGGACAGGATGGACTTGAGTACAACTATGTTTCTCACAGTGTTGTGGAACCATTTTCGTGTATTTGTGTAGGATTCTGCCAGAGGACTCTCCATGTTTACAGGGGAAGAGGAGATCTTTGCGTTTCAGCGAACCATCTCGCGGCTTACGGAAATGCAGACTGAGCAGTACTGGAAAGATGGGGACAGAAGCATAAAATAGTTATAATTAGAAAATGAATAAAAGAACACTAAAAAAAAGTGTGTAAGGAAATAAAGCTACAGAATTGGAATACTTATTAGCACAAATGAAATAATTTATTGCACTTTATCTTCTGGACTATATTAGTTTTCCTCATGTGATTTTTATGCTTCAGACGTAAGGTTTTTTTTTTTTGTACCAGTAATTTGTGGCCATACCAAATTTTTTTTTTATTTTCCTTTTCTGTAAAACATAAATTCGTACCAGAAATTTAACTGGATCACAATTTTTCTTCACTGTACAGACAGATATGTACAGACAGCTATGCCAGGTTGATGGCAGATTTATACTGTTCCTGCAATGTGGCTTGTGCCCAACTCCTACCAAGGGTAAGACAATTTGCACAAAAGACGGATTAAATGTTTTGTGTGTGAGATTCCTCCTGGCATAGCAAAAGTCCCTGCTAGACTTGCACTTTCTTGTAACCAGACTGTTGCTCACTCTGGTTGATTGAAAACTAAGAATTTGATGGAAGAGAGAAACTCGAGGAAGTTTGAAGATACTTGAACCTCAGAGGATCCAACTTAGCATGGGTTACAAAAGAAAACTATGATATGACAGGGTATAGTGTCTTAGGGACAAGGTTTAGCAGGCAGAGCGTTGAAGGGTTTACAGTTGGACTTGATGATTTTAAAGGTATTTCCAACCGCAATGATTCTGTGGTTTGGTGATTCTCTAATGCAACGTTAGTGCAAGCCAATACTTCTTTTGTATTTTCTACCAAAATGAAATTCACGCCGGATGGATGTGCTGCCTGTCCCCTGGTTTCTCCCTGCCGTGAAGGGCTTCGTGCTCCCGGCTGGCGCCGTTGTGGGCAGTGCGGCCGCCTCGCGGGGGGCGGTGGCGCGGCTGAGGCGCTGCCGAGGCGCTCGGCCTGCTACGCTGTTACCCTGCGCCCGTCCTGACCAACACGGGGCCCTCGCTGATCTCCAGAATCACATCCTCCATCTTGGTGTTTGTAACTGAAAAACTATTTTCAGCTAGAAGTGCCTTTAGTTGTGTCTTAATCTGGTTGAAACAAAATACGGGACTGCCCGTATTAGCTTGCGCACAGTCTTCAAAAGGTATCTTCTCAAGAGCATACTTGAAAGCAGTTATCCTGAATACGGAAAAATATTAAGCAGGTTGGCTGAGAATACTGTCATGTTAAGACTGACTATATTACTTGAATTGTAACTCCTGTTCATGTCACAAAAAGCTTTTATATGGGATTTGGGGCAGGTGGAGGGAGTGGGAAGCAGGAGGTGCCCCTGCTTCTACCTGTGTGAGCCCCATGCTCTAGTCCTGGTTTTCTGTTCTGATCACTTCTGCTTACTTATACTGGCTCCACTAGTTCTCCAAATACTTCTCAAAGCCTGTACTTACAGTTGTGTAGACTGCTGTGGTATTCCCACAAGAGTGACTACAACAAAGAATTTTAACATGTATTTATGAAAATTTCAGAGTAGATTGCATTTACATAGGAAATCTGATGTATACTTTCTGAGATTTTGTTTATTAATCAGGTTAATTTAATTAGGTTTCTCAACAGAGGAAGTATTGAGAAATGATTTTAATGCATGCAAATGTGTGTGGGTATGTATATTTAAAAACTACTAATGTATATAATTTAATTTTGTATGCATGTATATTATCCATGGCAGCCTCCGCTCATCAGGCTGGGCCTATGCTGAGGAGTCTCCCAAAACCCCAGCTGAGGTTTGATGCTTGGTGCAATAGCCCTGGAGGCTGCTTCCCACGTTAAGGTGTTCTAGTGGCCAAAATGTGAGGGGTGAAATGCCTCCAGATCAGTTTTGCACAATCTTTAAGGGCCTTAAAGTTGCTGGATTGGTGCTGTGCGCTTCTGTACCCCACTGAGGCGCTGCTTAGGTTTTTAACTTGCAAACTGCTGTCATCTCAGATCTGCTGTGTGTATTTGTGTTGCTCTTGGTCTTTCAGCAAGTGCTGTTGCTGAGCTACTTTTAAGCATTTTTTAGAAATAATGCTGTTGATGATATTTTGCTGTCACAGTAAGGAAACCCTTTGATGATAGGCACCACGTACACCATGTGAAGTGTTTCATTAATGGCCACCTCCAGGCTGAGAACTTACTTCAGATACCCACTTGGTCAATGTTCCCAATGCCCCAAAGATTAAATTACAGCTTTGGGGCATGTAGCTGCTTTACAGGCACTTGAAAGCTGTATTTTCATTCCAGATTTTGTTCAGTAGATCTGGTTTTATAAATAGCAAAATCTTGCTTTCCAAACTAGTGCTTCTCAGCATTTACCTTCTCAGAAGTAGAGGGAACAATCCCAGTATTTGGGTTATGATGAGGAGGCCTCCAAAGGGCTTTGGGGGGCTGAAGATGCATGTTTTGCTGTTGTCATATTTAATCTAAAAAGAGAAACCACTAAAGCCTTTTTTGAGTAAATGTGATCATAGTGAAGCTAGATGGGTGTCACCCATTTTAATTCAATTTAAGCATGGAAAAAAAATGGCCAGTTTTCAAGCAAATGCCTCCAGACCACAACATGGAGAAGAACAGTCTCCCCATCGAGATGGGTCCAAGCAGATCGAGATCCAGGAATTCTCGTTTTGGAATTGCCTGGATCTGAGTTAGCCCCGTGCCTCAGTTTCCCCGTTGAGAAAACGGCAATGACGTTAACTTCTTATTTACTAACACTGGAGCATGGCCAGGCTCAGCTCATTGATATTCTAAGATGCTCTCTGAGGCTCTGGGATGAAAATACTTCAGTAAAGTATGTAAATAGCGGAAAAATAATTCAGCCACTCAAAGTGGTTTAGTTTTCTTGTTTGGGTTACAGAATAAATGCCATCAACAAAACACCACATGCCTCTTTGTAGTGATGTTTTTCTTTGCATAATGCATCTATTTTAAAGAAAAAAATGGGTTGTGATTATTAAAAAAAAAAAAGACAAACCAATTCATGTAGTTTTTCCATCTACCTAGAATGTAAAATTTCCCTTATGATTCATTACCACTTCTTGTACTTGCGAGCTACGGTAGCTTCATAATTTTGTTAGGATTTTCATTTTATTGTATACTGAGAAGTTTTTTAAAAATAAATAATTTGGAGTTAATATATAACAAAATGGGCATTGTTAAATCCTGCTGTTGGAAAAGTATGCTGTAAAAGGAAAACCTAATAAATCCGGATTTTATAAACATTTTACTTGTTATTCATGGTATTTTCTGAATAAACAGGACTTCCTTGCAAAGCACGCAGTGAAATTTTGACCCTGGCCTCCCTGGGGCCGGCGGTGCCCAGGTTTGCCCGGGGTGGCTGCAGCGCTGCAGGCTGGAGCCCTGCGCCAGGCCCAGCTCCCAGGCCAGGGCCACGAGCAGAGTCCTGCGGCAGCAGCAGTGCCCTGTGTTGGAGAAGAGCTCCCAGGAAACCTCATTCGGGATTCAGAGCGGTTTAGGAAGCATGAGACTGCCCCCTCTCTGAAAGTTACGTAAGCTTTGGATCCTCTCTAAACTTCTGTCCTTGTTTTGGGTTTTTCCCCTCCCCTGTAGCATCCTGAAGCAGTGAGGTTGCCTCCAGGGTCTGACGGGACTTTTTGTTGCAGGGGGGAAAAAAAAAGGTTGCCTTTCTTTCCTTTTTTGCGCTGCTTCAAGAATAGACTCAGGCAGCTCTGCCTGTGCTGGTCAGTCGAATGTCGTTTCTCTCCCTCCCTCATCCCCTCAGAGAGGAGCTGTGCGGAGCGCCGGTCTCCGGTCGGCCGGCAGCGCTGCAGGGCCCGCAACGCCCCGTCTGCGCCTCGCAGCTCCGCGGCCTCGGCGCTGCGGCGGGAGCAGGTTTGCAGGTTTGCTCGCCTGCCTCGCGGCGTCCCTGCGCGCGGGTTCTGCACTGTGAGGGCTGCTGCACAGGGGTGCGATGGGGACCTGGACCCAGGCTGGATCCGTTGGGCTGTGTCAGGTCTGGGCTGGGACCATAGTGGGATTCGCAGAGAGCTTTGCCACAGTGCCGGGTCGCAGGCCACGTATTTCGTATCCTGCCTGTTAATGTTGCTGCTTCAGCTGCCCCAGGGACGCTCACGGTCCTGCTGGAGCTGTGCAGCATCCTGTGAGATGCCAAAATCCTTAGAACTTTCCCCTCCCAGCGTGCATTACTTTGTGAACATGGGGGCCTCTGCACGCTAGCAGAAGGGGAGAAATGTCCCCCCTGTGGCAGAGGGCAGCGCCTGGGTCTTCCTCTCCGGGCGCCACAAGGGGCGGGCGGCTTCTGCGCGAGAGCGGAGCGGGGACAGAGCAGGAGGGGAGCGCAGGCCGCTCGCTCCCTCTCCAGCCTGCCGCATTCTCCGCATATTTGTAAAACAACTTTTGTTTTAAATTGAATTGAATTCCAAGAGCGCCATTAAAACACAGAAATGCTTCTCACTGACCTAGTACTCTGCATTCATGTTGGTAAAATTTTGGATGAGTTTCTATAGTCCTCCCACCAGTTCTTTGTCAGGGTGAAGGGTTTAGTTGGCTCCGTTAATCCAGTCTCTAGCTGAAATTGTTCATTTAAATCGTTATAAAAATCCACTCTTTTCCAATGAGAATCCTATAGTCCCAGATTCAAGTACTGCTGCCAGTGCAAAGATTTCAAATTCTTTGAGTGCAATCAAACACTGCCAGTCCAAAGCCAAATTACAAGCACTTGTCCACAATTCCCCTTACTCAGCTCTAAGCTAATTTTTCCAGCAGGCAACAATAGCCTCAAAAGTATAGGAAGATTGTTAGAAGAGCTTAAGAATGCTTGATCAATTCCTTCAAAAGCTGTAATATAATTCTACCACATCCTGCTATCGCAAAAAGCAAAAACTTCAGTTCCGTGACTTAATATAATTTTAGATTAATAGAGATCACAGCCACTGAAAGATGAAGCACGTTGCAAAAGATCAAGTGCTTGTTTAAGCTAGCGTTAACTGACCCAGGAAAAGCAAGCTGCCATGAAGTAAAAGCTTTCTTTGTATCTTCTGTTCTTTTGCAATTAGTTGAGCCAAAAATACTTGCATAACTGGTTTATTCTACTTACAACAATGGGTAATTTTCAGGTCAACAAAA